TTTCTGCTACAAAATCGGCCAACACTTACACTTTAAGGGAATTTCCTGCTTTCATATTGATGTCGAACTCGAAGATCTCTAGCGATCACTTGAGCATCTTGTCCGCCATATCAAATCGACCAAGTAATTGTTTTATTGCTTGCTCTGTCCGGACGATAATAATGTGGGCCTGAAAATAGTGCCTCCGCCTCCTCGTTGTGTTGATGAGTGTTAAGGCTACCTTTTTAATATGTCAGTATCTTACTTCAGGGCCTTGTAAGGATTTTCTAAATAAGTAGATAGGTCTTTGCCCCTCGGGGATCTCCTGAATGAGGTTAGCGCTAACCTCCTCGGAAGCTACATCCAGAAAGAGGTAGAGAGTTTCTTCTTTGTTTGGTCTTGAAAGGATCGGTGATTGAGATAATTCCTGTTTAAGGTGGAGGAGGGCGCGCTCTCACTCTTCGGTCCATTCGGACATAACTTTTTTGCAGAGAAGATTGAAAAAGGGGAGCGCGTGTTAGGGAGATTTTTCCACGAACTGGGACAATGATATGCGCATTCCGTTTAAAGTTTGGATTGACTTTTTCGAGCTCGGGGTTGGAAGCTCAGAGAATGCTCGACATTTGTTGGGGTTGGATTCAATTTCTCGTTTTGTTAAGTAGAAACCAAGGAACTTGCCCGCTCGCACGCCGAAGGTTCACTTTTCCGGGTTGAACCGCATTGTGACTCTTCTTGCTTGGTCGAAGACCTTTCTAAGGTAGAGCGTATGATTGGTTTCCTCTTGGGATTTTATGATCATTTCGTCCATGTAGACTTTGAGCATGTCTCTGATTTCTCCTCGAAAGACCTTGTTCGGCAGTATAGTCAACGAACATGCTCCATTTTCCATTACTATTTTTTACAAGAACTACATTAGAGAGCCAGGTTGGCTACTGGGCTTCAGAAATAAATTTTTCCTCTAGGAGGTCTTTGACAGCCTGCTCGGCAGCCTCGGTTTTTTCTAGGGGCTGTCGGCGCCTACGCTGAGCAACTTCCTTGAGGGCTGGATCTACTGTCAAATGGTGACAAGCAATCTCCGGGTCTAGGTCAGGAATCTCTGCTACTATCCAGGAGGACAGGTACGCATTCTCCATTAAGAATGCCTTCAGTTGTCTCTTCTCTAGATTGGTGATGCCAGCACCGATCTTGACTCCTTTAGAGGGGCCGCTGCTCAGGGGAACAATATCGAATTCTCTGTCAAGAATCGGCTGCATAGGATCTGCAGGTTAGGAAATGCTCATTGACAAGGGAGAGCCTTCTCCGTTGAGCATGGGTTTTTCCCCTTCTTATTATGCTCTCTGAGATCTTCCTTTATATATTTGCTATCTAAGTAGATCGTGTCGATGTGGGGCAACAATTTCAGCTCTTCATAAATATCGGGGAGAACGGGTCTGTTTGCCGACCTGGGTTGAGTGTTTATGGAGCTCAAGCCTTTAGCAGTTTCTTCGAAACATATCTTGACTGCTTGGATGTCCCCGTGCAAGGTAGCGACGAGGCCGTTGGTGGTGTAGTACTTCATTTTGTGGTACACCGTGGAGGTAACTGCTATTATTTCAGCCAAAGTGGGCCTCCCAAAGATTCACTGATATAATGAAAGGGCAGTCTATTACGAGGAATTAGGTCTTGATGGACCGGGCCGTCTCTCCTTCCCCAAAAGTAACGACCAGATCGACATACCCCCAAGGTTTGGTGACGGAACCATTGAACCCCTGGAGATCAGAGCCCACGTACGGGGTCAGGCATGTCTCATTCAATTGCAAGGTGGTGAACAACTAGGAATACATTATATCGACCAGGATGCCCCGGACATCGAAGTTGTCCATGCGATCTCGTACGAGCAATGGGATGCTAGAATTGGGGGATCCTCCAGGAAATTCTTCCTAATACAACGCGAGGGGGTGAGATCCTCCTCTGAACTTGTCGAGGGTGGCACTCATGTCAGAGTTAGCCTTCATTAACTGCTCAAATATTCTCTTCACCGAGCCTACGATGAATTTGCTAAAGCCACCGTCCGAAATGACCATTACTGCTGGGAACGACTCCCACGAACCATGCGATGAGAAATACATGGGAACTTCCTTCCTGTCGGGGAAAAATATTTCGGCCTCGTGATGCTCACGGCGACATGCATAAGAGCCTTATCTAGGGAGGCCTCTTTATCTGGGAGCTTCCCGGCGAGATTCCTTCTTTCTGTATTGTTTGAGATGCCCTCCCGGATTAAGATCTCAATGGCATCCTTGAGGTGGATGCAGTCTTCCGTCGTATGCCCGTGAATTTTATGAAACCAGCAGTACTTGATTTTTTCTGTCTCTGGCTTAGACAATGTTTATTGGGAGAAGCGAACCCCATCTTGCGTGAATTCTGCATTCACGCGGTCGGTAAGGATCTTCTCACGCAAGACGTTGAAAGGAGTATAGTCATGGAAGCGACCAAGAGGATCCTTGTAGTCTCGGAACTCCCAGGACTTTTCTTCCCTTTTCTTTTCTCCTCCCCGACGGAATGTCGAGGATTCTTCATTCTTTGAGGCCTTCACGTTCTCTATATGTCGCGAGTCTCGTATACTGTTGACTGCCTCTTTCTCCTCGTACTAGATGTACGCATGTGCTTTGAGTAGGAGAGCATCCAGAGTGGTCGGTGATTCGATGCCAACTGCCTTGGCAAAGTCACTGCGGAGACGGAGCCCACGTTTGAGGAAATACTTTTTCACGCCATCAGTCGTGAAGACCTGTACGGCCTCCTTGTTGAAAGGTTTAATATATGCCCGGAGGGACTCATCCCTCCCTTGGATGATCGCCTCCAGAGATTCTTCTGACTTTAGATGTTGGAAAGACATCATAAAGTTCCTGTAAAATTGTCTTTCTAGGTTCTTCCACGACGTGATGGTTTCTTCGAGAAGTCTCTTATACCATGCCACGACCCCTTTCCTGAGAGTTGTAGGAAAGAGTCAACATTTGATCGCTCTGCAGACTCCTTTGTAATAGATAAATGCGTCGATGGTTTCAATGTGCTCGTCAAGGTCGATTGTTCCATCATAGGTTTCCAGGTGGGGAGGTGTCTCTAGACCGACAAGGAGTGTGGTATCCATGATTACTCTTGATAACGGGTTGCGGGGCTCGTCGTTGTCGCTTCTATCAGGAGATGGTGATGAGAAATGGTGATCCCTTCCTCATCGGGAGTTGTTGTCCCGCCGGGGAGAGGTGCTCCTTCTTGTCTTGGATGATGGTGAGTGGTCACGATCAAGCCGGTTGTTCTTTGTCTTCTTGGATATTGGAAGCATCAATCTTTACAAGGAGGTGTGTGACCTCGTTTCTTGATGAAAGAAACCTTTTTTTTCTCCCGCACGGAAGACTGCCACGTCTTGGTGGATATGGATTGAGGGTGTCATAAGGTCGGTGTCTCTGAGGAGGACTTTGACTACTTTTTCTCCAAGGCCCCCAATCTTCTTGCTCTGTTGCAGGATTAAGGTGTTGGTTTAATTGAGGGCAGCGAGCAGTGTTGCCATGGCCGGGTCGATATTCAATGGAATATGAATTGTCTGGATGACTTCTGGAAGCTCCTCTTTGGGGTTCTTGGACCTCTGATCATCCAAGAGTTGGAGGTTGTCGCGTTCAAGATCGATCGAATCTGGGGATGCTGTCTGACCGTCTCTGATATTGGGGATATCTTCTAGATGAGGAAGTTCTTCGCTTCTGTCTGTCTTGTGAACGACATAGAGTACAGTCTCTACAGAGAGATAATGGTCATCATGGTCGGCCATGGTAAAAGTAGTGAAAGTATCTTTGGTCTTCAATTTTGAGAAAAAGAAAAATGGGGAAGATGGTTTCCCACAGACGGCACCACTGATCTTGCCGGTTGATCAGAACCTGAAACTGTTCCTTGATGATGACACATGCTTGACTGAAAATATGAGGACAGGAGGGGGTATACCTATAAGACACTCCGACGATCAAGTAAGAATGACCGCGAAGAGATACAAGAAAGATATTAGGGTTTTTTTGTATGAATAATGGATATCTGGCCCTCACAAGTGTGATGGTTTATATAATGTCCCAACGCGTCGCCAATGGTTCCTATTTTTGGGCCTAGATATTAGGTTTCATAAAAATAGGTAACTGCCAAGACTTGGTCAAAACGGGCAGTCGTGCCCGTAACTAGCCGTTGCTTAGAACAATTGTGAGATGACGGACATACGCTTTGTTAGTGCCTTCTTGATTGTCTGCTCGACGAGTAGCAAGCAAACCTGAAATTGAATGTTGATGCAAGCAGACGCATGGTCAATGCGTCGTTATCCTCAGTATTTCTATGGTGTGCTCGACCGGGGATCATAGTTAGTGGGCCAAAACTGTTTAGGTCATGCTGAGGTAGAAGCGGACTGAGTCAATTCTAGCTATTGGGTCAGTCCAGAACAAGTAAGTTAGAGAAGTTAGAGGGGCGGGTACTCTCGAACCACCTATTCCTTAAAATGCGAGGAATCAAACCATGGTTAGCAGAAGCTTTGACTACCATTAAACAATTCATTTCAATCGAAAGCTTTCGCCAACCACGAGATAACGCCATGTCAACCACTCTTAAAACTGCTGAAAATTCTGCATACAACAAAGAGCCTGACCGACAACTCTGTAGAAATTTTGTTATGAGCCATCCTCCAGACTAAATCGACTTATCAGGCGGAATAGCACTGCTCCAAAGGTATTTGGCTCAGGGATTATATTTATATGTGACTTGACCCTCTTTATAGAATCAAATGGGATGTTAGTTAAGTTTAATCAATGTATATTTTGTGATCAAGAATTCCAAAAACCTTTACATGTTTAAGTATGTTTGTGTAAGAATTAGCATCAATCTAGGGGATTAATTTACTACTAAATAAAGTATGAAAAAATCATATCCAGATTCAATTCTTCACTTAGTATAAGTATAAAAAGTGAAAATAAAATAGCAATCATTTTATACTTCAATTTGAAGATAGCAAAACTTGTTATCTAATCCGAAGCTTCGACATGCATGTAGAATGTTTCATTAGCTTTCATCATCATTGTTTCTGCAAATTGTTTTGGTTCTTCTTTTCTTGTCTTTTCTCCAATCTCTGAATAGAACACCAATATGTTATTGACCAATGTTCCATCAATAGCATCTCCCACTAGTTTCCTATCAATCTGAACACCAAAAAAATTAACTTCAAATTCAAATGAACATCATTAAAACCAAAAAACATTTCTAAATGGAAAATACAAGAGAATACCATTGCTAATATTGCATCCATTACTTGTGTATGCAATCTATCGTATACCAAGTTATAGAAGGATAAGAAGCTAGTTTCTTGGAGAGAAGGAAGAATTGTACGTGGGATATATTTTAATTCAAGATGCAGAAAAAACTTGGAGAGGCAATTGGTCATAGTTTTATGATTTGACCATCTTCTCAGCAATTCTCTTAACAAGACTTCATCTTTCTTTCCTTCCAAAGATGGCAAAACCTAGTGATAACAAATTCATAATAGTTTTATGAGATGCAAACATTGGCTAATATTATATACATGGTGAATTTGATGAAGAGTAATACTCACAGTTGATATGATGTAGTCATAAATCACTTCTTTGTACTTATCATATACAAAGGAGTTATGCATAAAACCCATATTGTAGATGTCTCTGCATTAAGATAAAAGAAATATAGAATCAAAAGAATTAAACCTAAAACGAAAACAAGCAAAAAGAATGGAAACGTACGTGTATATCATTATGTTATCCTCAGAACTTAAGTGAGTATTAGGCAAGCATTCTAGATTGTCCAGCACCTTCTTGATGCGTTTCTCCACATAATTCCACGATTCTTCAAAGTCGATTCTTGGCTCAAAGTTTGACATGTTGGTGAATTTAAGAAAAGACCTAAATCTGCACTCGAATGTTTACATATAGATACTAATAAGTAAGATAGATATTGATCGAAAGAAATTCACAATAAGAAGAGAATTGAGTACAAGAGATGTTAAAAACTAGAAGAAAAAAGGAGTGGAACCTTGGTGAATGGAATCGGAGAGGGCTCTTGGGAGAATTTATAGAAAGAGAAGGCACATGCAAAACAAAGTGAAACCTACACCTATCTTTGGTTATCGTTAGGGTTTAATAGGAAATTATTATGGGTCACTTTGTTTTTTTTTTTTATAATTATTTTTACAGTATAACATAATTTTATGTAAAAAAAAATAGAAAATTTTTTTATAAAAATTTTAAACGAAAATTTGATTTGAATAATTATTTTTAAAATTGTGATTTTAAATTTTTTTTTTTATTGATTTTTTTTTTATATCAAAATTTTAAAAAATCACTTAATTTTAAAACTATTTCAAATATATTTTCATAAAAATGATTTTTCAAATAAATTTTTTTGAAAAAGTTGAGATTTTGAGTTTAATCTTTTATAATATATATTTATATTATAGGATATCAAAATTAATCTTTAAATTTTTTTAAAAAAATAATATAAATTTTTTTATAATATTTTAAAAAACAGATTTATAAAATCTATATTTAATTATAAAGATTTTTTTTTTAAAAACTGAAACAAAAAATCTTATAGAATATCAAAATTAATCTTTCAATTTAAAATATATATATAATTTTTTTTATAATATTTTAAAAAACAGATTTACAAAATCTATTTTTAATTATAAAGAAAAAATATTTTTTTTAAAGCCGAAACAAAAAATCCTATATCAAGCTATTTTACAATTCCTACACATCAGCATATAAAAGCCAGCGAGGGGACTTTATTATACTATCAAATCTGATTACTTCCTTTTTTTCTCTCTCTCTCTTTTATAAGTATAAAATTAAAATTAAGATGATAAATATTTATATTTAATATATTTTAATATTATTCTCTCTCTACGGCATGTAGGGGTGGGAATACCCTACACGGGCCTATAGTCTAGCCTACTTAAGATCAGATCAGACCTATTTAATTAAAAAACTCAGACTTAGGCTTTTTTTAAAAGTCTATTTAATTAAATAGGTCAGCCTTAAGCTTTTAAAAAAGCTTATGAAGTCTTATAGTCCAATCTATATTTTCATATATATTAAAAATATGTTAAATAGGTTGACCTATATATGCATATATATTAGAAAAATGCTAAATATGTTGACTTATATATACATATATATTAGAACAAAGGCTAAATAGGTAGGCCTATATATATGCATATATAGCCCAGTCTGTAAGACTTCTGATGTAATATGAATTAATTGAAAATCTTAATGAGAAACAAACTTTTAAATAGACTTTTAGGCCATATCAGACTTTTAAAAATGTCAGTTCAGGCAAAAAAAAAAAGAGCCTATCATAAACCATAGGCCAGACTCAAACCTTTTAAGTTTATCATAGGCCAGACTCAGACCTTCTAAAGTCAAACCTAACCTAACCTATTTCAACCCCTAACGACATGTGTCTTTTTATCAACTTTTTTAAGTGTGCACTTATGCAAAAGTTAAATTTTTTTTATATTTTAATTTAAGTATCTATATTGGCGCGGTTGGAAGTTATTAAATGGAAAGGAAAATGAGAAGAGTAAAAGATCGAAATGAAATTGATCTTCGAAAGGAAAGACAAATTTCTAAAATTTTGGTGGAAAAGATCCACAAAATTCGAAGGCTTTGATGGTGTAAATATAAGAACAAGATTTGAATCAATGTTTAATCTGAGTTTTGATGATAACAAGCATTTATTTTATGAAGAACAATTTTAGTTCTAATGGTTTTATTGAGTATGCAGACACATGATTAGAATTTTGGATAGTCTTATTTAAGAAATCAACAGAATCACATTATCACTTAGAAGAAGAACAATTGAGTTTTATTTCTAATGTAACATTAGAAGTTCTATGGAATGATGAATGTTCAACAAGAAAAGAATCTCAATGAATTTGTAACAAGAAAGAGATTCTGATAAGCTGCTGTTTCAAGATAAAAAATCAAGACTGCACAAGAAACAAGCTTACAACATAGAAGATCAAAAGTCAAGATTCATTTATTACAAGAACTGTAACTTGGATTCTGAAGACGAAGTCCAGATTCTAAACACATGTGAAGAAAGTTTCTACTCCAATATCAGAAGTCAAGATTTCCTCATCAGAAGAGTTGCTGCTCATATTTCTGAAGACAAAGTCAAGGTTCCAGAAGACTGGAGAGTTCATGGAATACACACCTTCATTGAACATCAGAAGTATTCCATTAGAAGAAATATAGAAAGATCTTATGGACTCACATCTAACGAACATCTCAAAGTCTATCAGAAGATAAGATCAAAGGATGATATCTTCTCAAGCTAATCTACTCAACAGAAGTAATATTCACTAGAAGATGAATATCATCAGAAAGACCACTACACTCAAGAGAAGAAATATTGTGACCACTTCTATAGAAATATCAATAGTTATAGAGAATGTAAAATGTTCATCAGAAAGGGAATCAATACAAATATCAAGACAAGGTCAAGATTACAAAGAATATATTCAATATCAAATCAAATATACTGATATAAGTTGTTGCTTCAGAAATCAGACATCAGAAATGCAGCTTAGAAAATCTGATTATTAAGAATTCAAAGACAATACCAATAAGTCAAGATCAGAAAAGCTTTCACTCTCAAGAAGATATTGTTCATCAGATAAGTTGTTGCTTACATATTTGTAGACAATATTTAACTATCTAAAAGACTCTGACTATCCAACAAAGAAGAATCTTCTAGATCATTATCGCTCCTAAGATCAGAAATAATCCTGTAAGAAGAAGAGAAGACATAGACAAGATCAAGAGTTATCTTCTAAGATTACTACTTCAAGCCTAAGTAAAGCATCAGAAGATAAAGTCTAAGAAAGTTAGACACTAAGTTTATAGTACAATCAATACGTTTAAAATATTTCACTACTTGCTTACTGTAATACAGTGGGAGAACTGACTTTGGTGTTTTGCGTTTTATCGCAAATGTTGCGGATAATAAGAGTCTCCATTGACTTTTCTTTTATCCAATAAAGGAAAATGGTGAAAAGAACAGGAAAGACCCTTTGAGAATTTTCTTGAGTTCGGGGGGTAGGTTATGAAAAGGGAAGGTGTTAGCACCCTTTTCATTCGTAGTTATCTACGAGCTCTTTAATTGCTTGATCACTTTAAAATGCTTTGTGTTTGTGTAAGTTTGAAAATATTTGAAAATGCCTAAGTTTGGCAAAATTTGCAATGATTCTCGTATCGTTGAGAATGTACACAAAGTATTGGTTTTGAAAATATTGTTTGAAAAAGAGTGTTTGAAAAGATGTTTGAAAATGCCAATGTAAGGCTATTTTGTAATGATTCTCGTATCATTGAGAATGTATACAAAATGTTTGTTTGAAAAGTGTTTTGAAAGTGTGAGGTGTAAATGGTCTTGTTTGCGAGCAAGCCATTACGAGTAATCTACCTACTCAAAAAGCCTTTGTTCTTTTCCTCCTCTTTTAGATAGTGCTTATCTCACCATTGGTTGGTAAGGAGCCATATCATTGGATGTGAGGGACAGGCGTGGGTCTTCGTACAGTCGTAAAAGGCAACTCGTAAGATGTTTTAGCAATCGTTGTAAGGGACTAAAATCATTTACCGAAGGCAACATTGAAGGGTCATTGAGGGACTATGATCTTTTAATCGAAGGCCTTTTGCTAAAATATCTCACGTTCGAGGGACATGACTATTTATATTCGAGGCAACAAGTGTGGGTTACCCTAGAGGTGCAAGTGTGCAAAGTGTTTTATTTTGATGTATATTTGTCTTGAATTAGGGTTGACTAAGATTGATTTTAAGGTCTTTCCATACAAACCCTAATTACTAGCAATAATAAGGAAAGCGATAAATTGCAGAATTTAAATATCCTATGATATTACAACGCTTTGGGAATGGAGGGTACAAGTTCGTGAATAGGGGGAGGAGAGCAATAAAGCCCTAATTGCTATTACAAAACATTACAATAATAATTATACACAAAATGTAAAAATGAAGGAGAAATTGCTTTTAGAGTTTTTGATGAAAATGTTTGATAATTTAATCTAATTAAACTAATTAATTTTAATTATAACAAGGAGTTAATTAATTATTTAAATCAAAACCTAAAACCTAAGTTAATTGAAATAAAGCCTAAGTCTAATTTTAATTTGTTTAGAAAATAATTTAAAAGTAAATACTAATTTAGAAAAAATATATTTTTAAAGTGTGAAAAAATAGACAAAATTTAGTCCTAAAATATTAACAAAAATAAAATAAGTGTTTTAATTAAAATGTTTTAAATTTAATTATTTAAGAAAATATATTTTTATATTTTTGGGTTAAATAAAAATAAATAAATAAATAAAATATAGAAAATATAAAAGAAAATAAGAATAATTGGGTTGGGGGTTGAAAAGTAAAAGGGTGGTTTAAAGTTAGCAAAAAGGGTTAAGCCCAAAAATAAATTTGTTTGGAATCAGAAAATAAATAAATAAATAAATAAGTTATATGGGCCTGCATGTGTATGAGCAAAAAGGGGGTAAGAACTAGTAGAAATAAAAAAAGAAAGGACCCAACTCAGGAGGCCCAGGCGCCCTGTTTTTGATCCAGTGTTGCTGACTTCTTGAGTTGTATCATGAGTTATACATGTGGTGTGTTGGATCCACTTGCACAATGATAAGATAGTGATGTGATGAGGGTACATGATACACGCGTGTGTCTTGTGTGCATGAACCTGAAATCAGAAAATGTTAACAAACAAAAGGGTACCACTGGGGCTCGAACTCAGGTCTCTATAGTTCAATGCCTTACGTGCGCTTCTCTTGCCACTAGGGTGGATTTTTCATCTGGTCATAATACAACA